TGGATTTCTGCTACCACTTCCTTTGGTATACTGCTGGGATGCTTTGTGTATTTGAAAGATGAAAGAGGTTGACCTGCCCTGGGGTTTCTAAGGAGCCCATGGGGTTGCCCATTTAAGGTAGCTTGTGAGTAGTTACTTTATTCTTCTCTAGGATGAAGGTATTAACAACCATGTATCTTCCTACCAAAAGGCAAGGTAGGTAGCTATTTCATACTTTATAAGCATCCATTAGGACCCCAAGAATATTCCATAACCTAACTCCTAAGACTGTGATTACATTACAAAAGAGATAGGAAGATATGATTAAATTTGCTTTTGACATTAAGATAGGGAAAATCCTGGATTTTGATGAACTCAGTAATTATTATTGGGTGAACCATAAACAGAAGAGGCAAAAAGAAGTGAGAAAAAAGAGAAGCAAAAGGATTTATGTAGGTGGCTTAAAGATGGAGAGCTATATTTGAAAACATGAAGACCAGTCACACCAGAAGACACTGAATCCTCCTAACAACTATGAACTCAGAAAAAAATCCTGAGCCTCAGATGGTAACCACTCAAAAAATTCAGCCATTCTATTGGAAAACTTCAGGCCTAAAGGAATAGTAAAATGGTAATATATGAATGATGTTTTAACGTGCCAAATTTGTGATAATTTGTTATAGCAGCCATAGAAGACTAGTACAATGTTGCTGCTATATTTAAACATGCCAATCTGTCAAATAAAGGCACAATACTTTGTCCTTGTAAAGGGCTGTGGTGAGGACCAAATAATGTAAGAAACCTAAGAGTGTTCTGCAAAATTTCAAGTCAAAGAAGTATAATATGCTCCAACAGGAAAAAGAATCAATTAATTTTGAAGTAATTGTGTTGAAGCAATTAAGAACTTAAGAGCTAATGACATTTCCCAGAAGAAAAGCTAAGGGTCTGCAGAACAGTTGCTCCTTCCCTAGAGAAGCAGTATAGCATAGGAGGAATTGGACAATCACAGTCCCACTCTTTTTCCTCAACAAAATGGGAATAGCCAACTCTTGCTATGATTAGGTGATACAGCTGTGTGAGGCTCAAATGAAGCAGCGAGTATGAATGTTTGATAAAAACTGCCAGATTGCAAGTCCTTCTGTGGGTGGGTGTCATAGTGTTGGAAGCAAGTGTCTAGACTCCAGTAAACAGATCACCCAAGGAAAGGAAGTTGAAAAGCCTCTTATGTCATACAAGACCTTTGCAGTCTGACTCCAATTCATTTTCCTGGTCTCACCTTCACCTATGCTTTCCTCCTTTCATTTCCACATTCCATACAATGTAGACACTAATCATTTCTAAAGCCATACTGTATAAGCTGTTCTGCCTCATGAAATGTCCTCTTCTCCCTTCTTTCCTGACAAATCTCTACTTTTATCCCTTGAGTTTTTCATTTTTAACTGTTGAAAAGGGCAAGGGAATGAGGGACAGATGTCATCAAACTGTCAGGCTACAGCCAAGTATGTACTGAAAGGGATAGGGCAATGGTTAGCCAGTTCAGCATTTTTATTTGAAATGGGAGAAAAGGTTGGCAACCAGGTATAAAAGAGATTCACCACATGACTAGAATAAGTATTTTGCTCAGTGGTCATGAGCAAAGCAATGCAAGAAGCAGGCAGCAATGAACTCTCAATATATCCAATTAGGCTAATCCATTATTTCTCAAAATTTTAATGCACATAGGAATCTCTGAGGAGATCTTGCTAAAATGCAGATTCTTATTCCAGATATCCGGAATATATCCCAAGAATCTGCATTTCTAACAAGCTTCCAGGTGATGCTAATGTGGAGGCTGATGACTAGCAAGATTTGCAGATGTTTTCATTAAGCTTATTTCCAAGCATCTTCTCCATTTGCATTTGGAATTCATTTTCACTACTACTTTGGGACAGTGTGATAAGTGAAAAGCCATCTGTTGTCTCCAATCCTGAATTTTTATTTGTTTCTAGTGTCTGACCATTGGCAATTCATTTTTCTTCTCCTTGTGCTTCAAGTTTTGTAATCTACAAGACCGAATTGCTGGCTATCACTTAGGGATGTCCTGAGGCCTGAGAGAATAACAAGGTTGTGTTGAAAAAAGGAAAGTTTGGGGTTGAAGAGATGGCTCAGCAGTGAAAAGCACTGGTCGCTCTTGCAGAGGTCCCGGATTCAGTTCCCAGCACCCACATGGTGGCTAACAACCATCCTTAAGCCCATTTCCAGGAGGGATCTGACACCCTCTTCTGACCTCTGCGGGGACTGTACAACATGGGCACACTTACGTACATGCAGGCACACTCATACCAACAAAATAAAAGTAATAACTAAAATATTTTTTAAAAAAGAAAACTGGAAAGTAGATTAAGACTCCTAGGTCCAAGAGTATTTTGTGTTCATGTAGGTTTAGATTTGCAGAAGATAGTCTAAGTGGTAGATAGTGGATGGATCATCATTCCTGATATGCTCAAAGATTGTTTTCATGATGAGACTGCAGATGAAGGCCATTGATACAGGATAGTCTGCATAGTTTATTGAAAGTCACACGAGTGAGCCCCAGGACCTCATTTTTTTAAATTTCACACATATAGTTCACATAGGCAGTCTTTTAAGCCCTCTGTTAATGTCCTTGACATGAAATGCTGCATTTCCCCATAAAAATGAAGGCTTTTATTCATTGAAAATATCTTGTCAAGTTATCTTGCTTCTCTCTGGTTTTGTTGTTGTTGCTTCCAAAGCTTTTTCAAGGCTTGTAATTTGTCAGGGCCACTTGTCTGCTGCTACCTTAATAGTAGCCTCACTGATCTATGTTCTCTCAAAAGCAATTCTTTTAAGAGTTGCAGAACTAACTACTTCCTCTACTTTTCTTTTGTAGTTATTACAGACTAAAGGAACATCTTGTAAAGGCAAGGATACTTCCCTATGATGGCCCATTATTTCAGAAGTGCTTTACAAGACACCATGTTACTATTTAAATTGGATGCGTAGTTTTGCCCTTCAGTGGCTGGATATTCCCCAACATCTCTTTTTTTCAACTTTCAAATAAAAACTTAAGTGAAATTTCTTTTTCTAAACTATCTCCTGACTTTTGATTATCACTACAGAAAAACTTTGGAGATATGTGACCCGGAGGCATCAAGTACCACGGAGACACAGAGACGTTTTCTACCAAACTGCATGTGCAGATGTCACCAGTCTTCTGGATGACACTGTACATATTACAACCTCGGTGAAGTACTGGTAGAGCACAGAAACACATAGAAGGACGTTTTCCCTTTGAAAAGTGACTAAGGCAAGGACTTCACAGCTACCAGTTATAATTATTCACTCCCCAAGCTAACATTTGATGATCTTTTAAAACACAATACCAAGTAGAGAGATTGAAGCTAAAAAAAAAAAAAAAAAAAAAAAAAAAAAAAAAACCATGACACTGTACATATTACAACCTCGGTGAAGTACTGGTAGAGCACAGAAACACATAGAAGGACGTTTTCCCTTTGAAAAGTGACTAAGGCAAGGACTTCACAGCTACCAGTTATAATTATTCACTCCCCAAGCTAACATTTGATGATCTTTTAAAACACAATACCAAGTAGAGAGATTGAAGCTAA